CCAAGTCAAAGGAAAAGGAGAGATGGTAAAAATTAAGGAAATGAGGCAAATAAAAAATATGGGCTCAGTGAAGTGGAAATAAAACACATTGATTATGCTTTTAAGTACACTTCTGCACTGATCTGAAAAGAAAGCAGGTGAAATAATTTAATGACAAATATCATTATTAAGAAATGGGCGTTTCTTACTGAAGCAATAAGTGATTTAATGAATGAGCAAATGAATGAATCCCAGGATATCAAGATAGTTTCTTTATCAGCCAATATTACTCACTACATATATTAAGTTCTCTCACTGTCATAGGAGCTACATAGAAAAAAACTCATACACTTAGAAGTGTAAAGGTTTACAGTTCCCACTTGAAACACTCTCCTTTAAATAGAAATAACAGGTTAATTAACTCTTGGTAGATATATGCAGCTAATACAAATAACTAGACAATGTGTAATTCTCTCAAAGTTTTTGAGAATACATTTTACAAAGTATTGAGAATTCATATTGCTTACATCTCTATATACAGACATGTAGTGTTATTAGAGGTACAATTAAAATTATTTGCATCTTTTTTTTTTTTTAGTATGGGTCTCACTCAGTTGCTCAGGCTGGAATACAGTGGTATGCTCACGGCTTACCATAGCCTCAATCTTCTGGCCTTAAGTGATCCTTCCACCTCAGTCTCCTGAGTAGCTGGGACTGCAGGTGTGCGCCACCATGCCTGGCTAATTTTTTTCTATAAAGACAAGGTCTTGCTATGTTGCCCAGGCTGGTCTCAAACTCCTGGGCTCAAGTGATTCTGCCTGCCTCAGCCTTATTTGCATCCTTTTTTGCAGGCTACCATGATACACCTCCGTAACTCAATTAACCTAACCAATGACCTTACAAACTCTGACTATTAACTCTGGCAAAAGCATAATGGGACCAAAGGGTATCTTAAAGAAAGCACGAGTTATGCATGTGAGTACTTTACCCAGAACTAAGGTCCAGTGCTGGTATGTTTCAAAAGTTCCTGCTTTAACAACACAGCTACTAGGCTATTAAATCTTTCTGAGATTCTGACAAACACATACTTGAGTATTATAGTTTCACTCATCAGAAAAACAATCCAAAGTTTCCATATTCAGAAAACCCTTGCCTAAGATTAAATGCCACTGTCACTGTGACAGGTTACTTTTGGTTCTTTTAAACATACTGAGCTTAAGTCAAATAATATCTGTATGTGAAGTAACCCAGGCACAACAGTCTACAAAAAAACCACTCTCTTTTTCTCTATGTGGTTATTATTAAAGTAAAAAATAAATGTCCTAACTTCCAACTTAGATAATTCTGTCAGGATAAAAAAAAAATCTAGTATTTTATGAAGAACATCCCCAAAACGACTGCCTAAATAAGCAACTTTGTATAAAGAATTAGACACCTTCACTTAATAAGAACAATGTTACCAACACAAACCGCTTTGCATTTCCACAATCCTTAGTACACAGACTTCCAGAATATTCTACAGAATTGAACATACATAATATACAGCTGGTGGAATCTTGAGATTATTTATTCCTCATGTGAAATGTGTAAAAAGCCGCTCAACCTTTGGGTAAGTCTATTTTTTACATCTCAGCATTTTTCCATTATCCTGAAGGGACTGATCCATATTACCCTTACCATCCTTCCCAGCTCTAACATTTCTCTAAAAAAGACACAGCATGACTGGGCACAGTGGCTCACACCTGTAATCTGAGCACTTTGGGAAGCCGAGACAGGAGGACTGCTTAAGCCCAGGAGTTTGAGACCAGCTCAGGCAACATAGTGAGACCTTGTCTTTACAAAAAAAATTAACCAGGCATGGTGGCACATGCCTGCAGTCCCAGCTACTTGGGAGGCTGAGGCGGGAGGATTGCTTAAGCCCCAGGAGGTCGAGGCTGCAGTGAGCTGAGATTGTACCACTGCACTCCAGTCTGGGTAAGAGACCCTGGTTCAAAAAAAAAGACAAAGCAGGGGCACACAGTCTCAGAATCTCCTAAATATGGGTATCCCCAGGCTTAATTCCTCAAGTTTGGCTCAAGAATAAACCATCTTTAATATTTTACAGAGTTTGGCACCTTTTTGTCAACAAATTAGCACCCAAAGATGTGGGGTCTCACAGAAAACTTCAGGAATGCCAGAGGAGGTCCTAGAACCTGAAGTTAGGTACCTGTAGGGGCCCACTGCAGCCCTACCAACTTTATGCTTCTCCAGTAGTCCTGTTAACAGGTTTTGGCTCCCGAGACTGGAAAAAACAGTGATTCTTGCTAAGTCCCACCAGTCAGGGCCTCATCTTCAGGCCCAGGAGGTCACAATCAAAATAAACTGTCCTTATGAGATATGGGGCCAAAATTTAAAATTATTCAATCTCTCTGGGCCCAAGGACCATTGTGTAAGAGGGAATCCACTTGGAGTCACATCTCACAACTAAAGCTATGCCCGACCACATTTCCGACCACATCTGGACTTCAAACTAACTCACTGACACCTGCCTGCAATTTAAGAAAATACCTAAGATCTAGCTGGTCTCTAGCGCTAAAGGAAGGCATCTTTTAGAACCCTGGACCAGAAGGAGGGTTTTTCTTGGCACTTTCTTTGATTAAGTTAAGAATTAAGATTAAGAAAGAGAGAAGAATGGGAAGCTGTCTAAACTAGTCAGAATAGGAAAATCAACCACGGCCTCTATTTCATTAGACAACACTACCACAAAATCCCATATGTGCTTTAAAGTATTTGAGCCTACTGATGTAGATAAAACTTTATTTTCATTTGTTCAAAAAAGACAAAGCATATTTTTATTTAAATCACTTATGCAAGGCCAGGCACAGTGGCTCCAGCGTATAATCCCAGCACTTTGGGAGGACGAGATGAGAGGACTGCCTGAGCCAAGGGGTTCGAGGCCAGCTTGGGCAACTTAATGAGCCCTCATCACTACGATAAATCAAAAAATTAGCCGGGCATGGTTGCACGTGCCTGTAGTTCCAGCTACTTGGAAGGCTGAGGCTGAAGGATCACACGAGCCCAGCAGGTTGAGGCTGTGGTGGCCGAGAGCATGCCACTGTACTCCAGCCTGGGTAACAGAGTGAGACTCCAGCTCAAAAAATAAAAAAAATCTTAAAAAAATTACTTATGCAACCATATATAAAAATAAAATCAAATGAGATGCAAAGGAAGGGAATTTATATGGCTAAGAACCTATTCTGTAACAGATTCTACATACCAGTATCTCACTTAATACAAACTATACATGCCACACTTTTGTGGGGATGGAGAGAAATTTCCTAATCTATATCTTTAGGTGCTACAAAAACCTTCCAATCCTGTTCTTAAAGAAAAAGCTAACCAGAAGGGCCAACAGTTACATACTTTAATAACAACAAAGTGATGATCCTAATCCAAACTTGGAAATTAGTGCAATAAAGCTACCATTTCAAATATGTCTGCCCTACTTTTAATGAAACTTGATATATGTATCCTGAAGGCAGAGCAATAAAATGTTAGGAGCTAGTGAAGGACTTCAGAGATCACACAGTATAACCTCTTAATTTTACAAATGAAGTAGTTAAAATCAAAGGGTTTGTCCATTTTTCATCCAAAATAAAACAAGATCTGTGGTCTCCTAACTTTAAGGTCTTACTATTGACCTAATTATGTGAGGGACTCCAATTATTTGCACAAGACACCTTTGCTTTTCAAAAGCACATACACGGCTAATGGATTTTTTAAAAAAATATTTAATTTACCTAATTATTGGCAGGAAACATTTAAAAAAATATGGAAAGCAAGCTGGGTCTCACAAATTAATAGAAAATATTGTTTTTATGCCAGAATAGTGGCTGGCCCATAACGAGTGTGAAATAAATGTTTGTTGCGTGAATATGTGCCACGCTGAGTAAAGTATTGGCTCAATAGAATCCATATGTCCAACTCAAAGCATGACACCATGAATAAAACTGCACGTATACTTCTTTCATATTCTTAATGTGGTTGCTCTAAAAACAAACTAAGATTTACAGAGATAATGGTAAGAGTCTCAGCATAATTCACCGTAGCTATTTCTGATACGAACGCTATAAACCTACAAAATAAGCACCAAGTCAAACTTAAAATTGCTATGATCCCCCCACCAAAAAAATGTCGAAGGAACGAATCTAAAGAGACTAAACTGGCTCTGCAAAATAGCTGTCGCACTTATGTTGGCAATCAGGGAACTAAACTAAGACTCTAGGCTTAGTCCTAATCTTGCACACACATAGTAACTAAAGTCAAAGAATTCGACCTCTCCCCACCCCCACTTTCTCCTTTAAGGAGCAGAAAAGCTGCGGGCGTGCCAGGGGGTTGGTTTTCACCGAAGAGTCTGACCCCAGAGGCACTGCCGCTCTGTACCGCGTCGCACAGCCTGGAAAAGCCCGAACAGGAAATGTTCCAAGAGCTGGAACGACCCTGCGACAGCTGCGGGCGAGAGAAGCCACAGCCCTCCCCGCCGTGGGCCCCCGCCCCGAGCGCCCACCCGGCCGGGCCAGGCCCGGAAATGCGCCGCCGGAGGGCCGAGGTGGGGCGTGAGTGACGTGAGGCGGCCCCAGCTCGCGCGGCGAGAAGCGACGGCGGAGGCCCAGGCGCCCATTTTGTCCTCGGCCGCCGCACTTCCCGCCCCGGACCCCCTCGAGCCCCGCAACCTCAGCGAAAGCCGGAGCTGGGCTTCTCACCGCTGCCCCGCACGCCAGACGCCGGCCAGACTGCGGCGCGCGGCCGGGTCCCGCGGCGGCCTCGA